CTCGATAAGGAAAAGTGTGGTAAGTATATTCTTGAGAATTTTGAATTAATAATAACTTATTTTCAAATACCTGTACCAATTTCAAAAATGTGATCCATCAAAATACGTTACGTGGTCAATGTTGCAAGAAAATGAACCAAACCAAACCCCTCAAATAACGCACCGTACAAAACTACCAAAAACAACGGAAATTTTCGAAAAAATACAAAGGCCATTATGATAATTGTAGAACAATGAACATTGAATGCGATAGTCTCTCATAAAGAACCGGTCATTCTTCTGTTCCTATTCCATACCTCACAGGCAGGGGTTACATTCGCTAGTCCCTTTCCAAAAATTGATGTGTAAATGTAAGTGAACATTTTCGGAAGAATGTAGAACCGGAGGGTCTGGGGGGTTTGGAATGATCCCTAGTATACGAAGGTCTTATGATAATATTGTAGGGAAATGAACATTGAATTCTTCCCTAGAACCAGGACCGAGAGCAGAACTATCATATCATCGTGTGTTGGGGGTACCCCCCCCCCCTTCCCCGTAGCACGTTTACCCTAAACATGTTCACTCGCACCACTTTTTTGATAGTCCGTACCTAATGGGTATCCACACCCCCCAGACCCCTCGGTGATACGTTTTCCCTACACTTAACCATGATAGATCCAATGGAAAGAACTATTCGAATTAAGATGAGAATGAAATCTTGAACTAATTTCATTCTGCATCAATGCATGTCTTTCCTAACTTCGTTTTAAAGTTAATAATATGATTCTTGGTTGTGGGTGTTCACTGTTGGATATACCGGGTGACCAAATAAAAAAATAATCTACATACAGCTTTGTGTACAAAATAAAAGGGGCCAAGAGGAAGTACTGAAAATTATTGTTCCTGCGACAACGGTTAGGGAATGAAACATGCACTCTAAACCAGAGAAATGGGATTTTTCAAATGGAATGATTGGATCTCGGATTGGATATTTCAAATGGAGTGATGTGTAGAAAGTGGTATTATCGTAAAAATTATTGAATTAGAAAATAAAATATGCTTCTATACATTTTTTGTTCTTGTGGTTATTAAAAAAATGCTATATACAGTGCGTTCCAGATAAGAGGGTCACCTGAATATCTCTTTCATTTGGCGAGATATATGAAAAATTTGTCGAATATAGTTTTAGATGAGACATTACGATCTATCCGATCGCATACTGACATTTCCGGAAATCGATACAACTTTTGTTTTTTAAATGCAATGCCTATGTTTTTAAGATATTTGAAAAGAGCAATCAATTTGCTGTACGACAACATAAAATCGACCGCAATCGGTAGATTCAGGTAAAGTCGCGGATACTGTCGATACGGTACTTACTTAATAGTGCGCAAGTGTTTTGTTAATTCGAATAAAAAAATGTCTCGCATCGCCCGTGATAGTATTACAAGCATGTTGCGACGCTTATTATTCAGAAAGTTTACGTTTGAGACAAGAGCGAGCTTGTGAGCGAGTGGAGCAAGTGATTCCGTGTGAATAAGGGTTATTATTTTGTGTTTTACATATGGCTTTATAGATTGTACGGTTATCGTTTTCGATGGTTGCAGGGATTGCAAAATATGTGTATTTTTTATGTGCATTTAATTCATTCATTACTTCTTTCAAAAAATTCAGAAGTTCACCAATTAAATTCATTAAATTAAAATTAGTACTGTGCATTATTTGACACGTCATTTCAATTTGATTTTGCACGAAATATTTTAGCGTATAAAATTTATAGGCACAATAAACGGCAAAAGTGTATAATTATATTTTTTTAATAATAAATGCAGAGAAATCCCTTTTTTGTTGGAAGCCTCGACAGCATAACAAACCGAGTAGCGGAAAAAGTAGAACCAATAGGCCTTAAGATACAGTAGCGACACAGCTGTATAGGGACAGACGGGCGGACATTTTTTATTTTTGTGGAAATGCGCTAAAAACGCAAATAGAATAGAGTTGCCTAAACTACGGTTTGAGAGGGTGGAATACGAATATATCCAATTTCAGTCAGAACTGAAAGGACCAATGCCATAAATAAAGTCGTTTGGGGTGATGAAGATACGCTTATTTCTACCCACGCAAATATCTATGTTTTTGATTTCCCCTATTTTTCATATTTGATCTTTACGCAAATTGAACAAATGCTTTCTGCGCTTCGTTTTTGACATGGACGCTACGTTTGTCCTGATTAGAAGCACCGAACTATAAATAATAGTCAGGTAATCTCACTGAATATGATTAAAGTCTGATTAAACCTGAGTGAAGTTGCTCATTTTTGTAGTTTTAGTCTGTGGACCATGTCCCTCAGATGAAACTTTTTCCGGAAAATCCGTTCACGACCATTTGTCCTTCAATGTTCAATGTTCAAAGTTCAATAAATTCCATGCAAAAAACATATAAACAGTTTCTTCTAAGAACCTTAACCATTTGGGGTTCACCACCAGATCCAGTTCTGGAAGCGAATCCGAAGGAATAGGGTTGGAAAGATGTGTTGTCAGCGCTGGAATCGATCCGCACCTTGGACTGTACCGCCCCTGACTTTATATTGAACATGATATTTTGCTCATGCAAGACAGGGCAAGGCAGGCTCGGTCGCCTGCTTATAAATATATATCTCCCAAATGGTTAATGCTAGAAAAAACGTTTTATGTTTTCTGTAGGAGATTTAATGAACTTTCATTTTGAAAATACAAGTGGTGATGTTGATAGTTCTCGAGATATTGAGGAAAAAACGAAAAAAGGGTCAACGGAATTTTGAGTTCCCTTCTATTTCTAAGGAGAGCCTTATTAATTCCGAAAGCGAACTGAAAATTAACGTAATGCAGCATTGGATTCTCAAGATGAACTTTTCTTGAAAGTGAGTTTTCGCGAATATTGGGAATAGGTGGCAAGCTATCGTACCCGTTAGTACTCTCATTGAATGGGAGGGAATTAACTGGAAGTGAGTTTTTTTAAGGGAGGGCGTGGAGGTTAGAAGAAATTACTACATTACGGGATCGTGAAAGCTGTAACCGGCTTTATTTTTGAATTTTCTGAAGACTATCGGTTTGACTAGTTCAAAAAGTATGTTACAGCTTTCAAAAGTTATTGGTGTTAATTTAAAGCATTTCGCTTGGCTCTGTTACGACATAAAGTAAAGGTCTCTCGAATAGAAATTTTTGGAGTGTGCACTCGATCAAATATTGTTCTCGGATTGTAAAATCAGAGAAACATTCGAAAGAAATCGAAGTTTGTTACAAAATGAAAGTAGATTTCTTTGATTTCACCAAAATCATTGCGATTTTTCCACATTGTAGAGTGATTGTTGAGTTGTGCAATTTTAATCTCATTTTGTTGTGCCCCAACACTGCAAGTTTTCTGTAGGTAGGTATGATATATGACGGTAATGCGGAAATTATAATTTTTGGAGATGTAGTTCTCATACGAACCATCTTGGACCAATGATTTGTTTAGAAAGCTTTGATGTTTTTTATTTCGTGCGAAAGTACTCTTTTTATTAAACACGCATGACTTAAAATCTTGGTTTTTTGTTTTATTTTGAGGGAACAATTTCCTGAACAAAAAACTGCATTAAAAAGGCGGTTCTAAAAACAATCATTCTTCTGTAAATGTCAATATGTCCGCGTTTGAAACGTTTCAATTATTGTTTCCATTACACTGTGCCAACGAAATAATTAGGAAGTGTACGTATACACCAAGTGAAAAAACTTGGAACGGTAAGAGAGGTAGTTACGTAATACCCCTGCAGCCGTTTTCGTCATTGTGTGTATGTGTTCTATATTACTTATTAAATATTTACAGCAATCATGGGTTTGGACATTTGCCAAAACTATTGCTTCACTAACACTAGTACGATGTATCTATTAATTTACCACAGAAAAAAAATTTATGATCGTCCGCTTTATCCCCCAATTTATTTATAATTTTAATAGTTTTATTTATCGACAGTTATACATTAGTTGTGTTTTCGTTTTGCAACGCAGATGTAAAGGCAAAACGCCGACTCGAGGTTACCATTCATTCAAAGTGTGAAATGGACGATCTATTTACGTCAGTATTTTGTGTAAATATTGTAGTAGCCACGGATATTTTTTTTGGCCACTTATCAGGTATTTCCTTGAGCCGCCCACGTCTTTATGATTTCATCAATGAAGAATTGTAAATATTGTAATCCAGGAAATGACGCGAATTTGAGGACAGTCGAAGAAACTGTAACCAAAATGGGTTTTTGCTCTGTTTTTCCGCAGTTACAGCCTACAGAAATCTTGATAAATTGTATTTTAGATTTTGAAGCTATGGAGTTTAAAACGTAAATTTGGTGTAACTCCCTTTTGGAACAGCTTACTGTGATGATAAAATTACTCTACAATGGGTTAAAACGCTCCATTCAGATAAGCTTTAAGTTAGAAAGGAACCCTTCGTCATTTCTCAATTGCAAAGTTCGCCGAATTGCGAGCGAATTAGGACACTGTGCCCGATCGATATCCTCCCTTCTGTGCTTTCGCTGACATTAACTTTGAACGATGCAAAATATGAGAAAGCCCATGGTTGTGCTTTATTTTGTAACGTAATGATCTTTTTGTTTTCCATTACACAATCATTACAGAATGCAAATTTGATTTTTAATACTGACGCATTGGACGTTTTTAGATTGTATAATTAGAGTATAAGAGTACGTCAACGATTATTTGGCATTCGAGCAAATACATATATTAATTGTTTGTAAAGACGGATTGACTACGAATTGTGTTCACTTGGCTTTAGATTCCCAGCGAATACTGAGTGAAATGTTTATAAAAATAAAAGCCAATAAAATAGGTTGTAATCTTGAAAATTCAAAATTTTACTGTCTGCCTAATTATAGGGTCCCTATTTATAATGCGACTTTGATGTTTTTATTCCCTTCAGATGCTCCCATAGCGCGCGCATTATAACTTTGCTGTCCATTTTTCGTTTATTAATTTTCACGTTTATTGCAGACTATGCCAAGGGCTTCCATTCGATAGGATTTTCTTACGTTTTGGTAATACAATTTATTGTCTCATGGAACACAAATCGGATTCGTACTAGTGAGTAACTGCGCTGTTGGGTAAGTGTGACTTATCTTGTCCGTTTCAGTTATCCACAATTAATGGGTCATACTTAACGAGAGATGCAACATAGAGATTTAATTACAATGGAACTAGAATCTGAAGGGCAAACGTCAGCCCCTCAATCTCGAGGACGGGTAAATTACAAGGCCTATTCGCTTTATTCCTGACGCATTGTTTTTTCAGACTAATTCCAAACTAAAGGTCTTAGTGCGTAGTCACGCAATGCGAGAGGAAGCATCTCCTCCACGTGATCCACCAGTCATATCTCCATGCATTCAACTAATAGCGTCACCCAGTTCATCCCCAGCCCATTCACCTCCTCCACCTCTCACCAAACCCGTTGTAGTATTAAGTCCTTCAATAAGTAGGGGTAATTCGCCATCTCGCTCTCCCACATCAACATTAGTTGCTTCTCCGGTATCTCGATCCTCGCCGCAAAATGTCTGTTCGTATTTATCCGAAAACACCGACGCTACCAAATTTTGCACTCACCACGGAGAATTTTTGGAAGAAGGTTGCGGTAGTAGTAGTCCGAAAAATTACAGGCACAACGGCCAGGAGAAGGTCCACGTATGCGAAGGTGGCCTTTCGTGTAAGGGCACCGACGAAGCTAGTCATAGAAGAAATAGGAATACGTGTGAATGCACAAATCAAACATGCACCAAATGTTTGAAAAACCACGATAGAAATATAAACAATAACTTAAGTAGTAATATCAATAATAATGTTGTCAGTAGTTCAAACACGTTAACTGTGAGTAGAGCTACCAGGGGAAAATTGCGACAACAAAGTTCATCACAGGGTAGCTTTGAGGGTAGTTCATCAAATTCACCGTGCTTAAGTAGAGGTACTGGCAACTCGATTATTCCTATATTAATGTGTTTCTTTAGATAGCAGCTCTGAGCAGTACACTGACACCACTGGGGTAGATCTGGAACAATTTATTGCAGAAACTTTGAATCGAAATGCGAAGGATCGCGCTTTAATGCTAAGAATCGAACAGGAGCTAGTCAGTCTTGCCAAAGATAAAATGTAAATTGCTTTTTATTTTGCGCAGAATTAATTTAGACTCGTTTCAGAAAAAGTCATTATAAGTTTCCACCAATGTCCAGTTATCAACGTATGTTAGTCCATCGTTGCGCGGCATACTTTGGTATGGATCACAATATCGAATCGTCAGGGAAATGTGTAGTGGTAAATAAAACAAAGTGTACTAGGATACCGGATATTGCATTTAAAGAATATGTTAAAGAGGATATAGTATTTGTGGAAGAACCGCGCAGATCTATACTTAAACGTGATTCAAACAGTATTGAAGATTATCATTTCAAATCACCCGATAGGCAATTTAGTTTAGAGAATAGACGAAGCAAAAGTTTTGAGGAACGCGAGGAAGAATACGAAAGAGCGAGGAGGCGAATATTTAATCGAGAGGTATATGGGACTTTTTTGAACCGGTTAGTTCTATGCAAAGTTTCAGATGCAAGAGTTCAGCTCTGCCGAAGAATTCGAGTGGTCAGAAATTCCTTGGTCTAGTACAGAGAGTGACTGCTCGTCTCGATTTCGACTGCTTCACACTGACAAATCTGCCCCACGTTTGTTAAAAGTAAACCTTTAAATGTTTATTTATGGCAAATAATGAACTATTTTAGGTGCAGTCTGTTGAAACAAGTAGCGATATGCCACGTCCATGCGTCGCTAAAAGTTACAGCTTTGGTGGATATGGTGGCGTTTCGGTGCTAACTAGAGGTGATAGTGTTCTGTCGACGCACAGCGCTGGACCGAGATTGCTTACAAAACAAGGTGCAACATTTATAGCAAATATGCCCAATTTATGCTTCGCGTTTCTAGATTCTGGAGCAAGTACTGTCTCTTGGCGTTTAAGTCCTTCAAGTTCTGGTTACAAATCTCAATCTCAAATTTCGGAATCTGTCACTCCATCACCTACGTCCACACCAAATCTTCCTGGAGACAGGCAGGATTCAACTAATAGCAACTCGAGTGCCGGCACAAATGAATTACTGACACCTATCACCGAAAAGGGCCTTAATGAATCACAGCTGGTATGGGCCGTTACAGACATCCACAATGTTCCAAAAGGCAGCATTATAATAAATCCTCAGGTAAATAAAATCACTGTTCTACACTTATTTGGTGTAATATACGTTTTTAGACTGGGAAACCTGTGAAAAATGTGGACGGATCGATTTACCATTACGATCCCCAAGATCCACCTCCAGGTTTCCACGCAAACGGAGGAAGCTCAAGACCACCACAATCACCGCACAAAACGTCACTGCCTCAAAAGTGTTCTAAGGAGTGTGTTACATCACCTAAGAAACAAAGGTCAAGATCCTCTCCTTCGCTTAATAAAAAAATCAATGTAACCAATAGCGCAACAAGCCCTAGTCTACCATTTACCCCACCTTTGCAACACAGCAGAAGTATGCAATTGTCGTCATCAAGCGAAAGTGTGCCTAACGTTCCGGTTCAACAATATCCTATGTATGGTAACAACTATGCAAGTATGCCTTCCACGGACTCCTCGCTACAAGTTTATCAGCCGCCATATATAGTCTACGCTTCATACGGTGTTCCTGTACCTGCACAATACGATGGTCGCATCGTAAGTATACACTTGGGTAGTTTTGAAATTGACGTCATCTTTCTTAGGATCCTCCGCAAATGCCTGAAGTGTCTGGGGGCTATTTCATAACTGATTCTGGGAATTCGGCACCACAGTCCTTGTCATACCCATCCGCTTCTCCATATTGGCATCAGCAATCTGTAGTATATCCAAATCCTCAGCAATCTAACCAACCTCCACCACCTCAAAGATTTGCTGTCCCCACCCACGCCCAACCCGGTTCTTATTTACCTCCAAGCTTTTCTTCGGGCTACTGTCCTCCTCAACCTCCTCCGCTTCCCCCTCAAAATCCTCAGAATTCCGAATTAGTACCCATTTACTCTCACCAGCCGGTTCAAGTGGTATATTCCACACAACAACCGACCCCACCGAACCAAATCGTTTATCCAAGTCACAGCATTATGTACACCCAATCCCCGGTTTATTCCAACATGATGGTCCCAGTTCAGAGCGCCCCTTACCCGCAAAATCCCCCGACACCAAGCAACTCCTCCACAGTTTACCCCGGACAGATGCATGATCAGTGTATTTCTTCGCAACAAAATTTTAATCAACTAACGCATAGTATTAATCAGTTAAGCATCGGTCAGCACAATTCGAATCAAAACATGCCAATGTCGCCGCACATGAATCAGGCATCGTTCGACATTAGAAATATGAAAAGTTGTGCACTTAAGGGCAATAAATTTAGCACTCCCAAGAATTTCGTTTCATGTTCAAGTCAAAGCAGTACTGGAACCAGTTCGCCCGCAACTACGGTCGTCGCCGGCTACTGCAGCAATCCTACCACTGCCTCGTACCGAACGCCTCCCGAGACACCTCCCACGCAAAATGCTGCTTTTGGATATGGTCCAAACTTTATGCCACCTATGGTTCTCAGACAGGTAGGTAGCCAATTTTGATTTCTTGCACTAGGAGACATCTTAATAAAGATTTGTGACAATATCCCTCCCTTTCCCCCCAAGACAAACAAGCTTTGGTAGGAAAGTAATAGCAGAGTATTAAAAAATTAGATGCTATGCAAATGGTGCTTGTTATTTCTTTTTTTTTTTATGAGACACTCACTGATAAGGAACAGAGTACTGATGATATTACAGCGGACTGCGGTATTGCCAATTTTTTAATGATTGTTTTCATGGACACGGTTTCCAAATTGCTTTCGCCAAATCTCTTCAGTTTTTTATTGTTTTGTAATGCTTTTAACAATTTGAGATTAAATTTGATGGACCAAACAAGACTTTACTAATCTACGAATAGAGACGCACTTTTAAGCTGTGAAGTATAATTAACGTTTGCAACATAAGTATGTTTTCTAGTCATTATTTTCAGATGAGTAATGTCCGTGCTAGTCCACCTATAAACAGAAGTAGTAGATCTCCAACTCCGGCTAGTGATATTTCGCATATGGATCGTCAAAGATTTTCGTTACCTCCTTCAATGTACCAAGGGATGCCGCCTTACGTTATACAAAGTAAGTGTTCTATATGAAACCAAATGAAAGTGTAAAATTTCAATTGCAGATGATAATAGAATGATACAAGCTCGAGGCCCACCAGTCGCTTGCAGACAGCAGGCTCCGATACGACCTCAAAATTTAGGCCATCACACTGGCGAAAATAAAACCCATAAAAATAGAAAGTCAAGGTGGGTATAGTACGTTATGCGGGAATAAAATTGTTAGAGCTTTATTTACATTGTATACACTTGTTTAAAAAAAATAAATATTTTATTTTATTCTTATCTATTTCAAAGGGGAAATAAAATGTCGGGTCTCCCTCCAAGCGGCAAGTAGGATTCGAGAAAGTATAATTTTTGAGTTATACAACGATCTGTATAATTGATATTGTAAATAATGTTAAAATCACTCGCAAGGTAAGAGGTTCCTTTAATTTTTAGTTATGTAAAAATTTGGAAACGCAAATAACATAATAAATTATCTGCCGGTATTTATTTGTTACAATCTACTGTTAATTATTTTTAGATTGTTTATGCATCTGAATTATATCAAAGGCTCTACTTACAATACAATTTATCAATCTTTGTGACCAAAAGTCTAAATAATAAAATGGTGAACTCTGAACTTCTTGAAAAAAGGGATGATAGTTTTTGATGTCGCAGCATACTACACGAAATTAGTGTTTATTACATAGGTACGTCAATATAACTTCAATTTTTTTCAAAATACAGGATGTTCCCTGCATCTCTCTATATATCAATTTTTAAAACATGAAAATAAGTATGTATGGAACACATCAGTTTAACTACATTTTCAAGTTATACCTTCTAAAAAATTAGTTTTTAGTAATGGGGGTCATGTGATGCATCATTTGAAAGCTTATTCAATTATCTAAACAGGAGTTTGGTGATATTTAAATTTTGTAGGAGCACGATCACCCCATCTGAGAGGAGTCCTCATGATTTCTTAGAAGGGTTCAGTTGAGAGAGTTCATTGTGTTAATTATGGTTTGAAGATCGCCTATTTTAATTTTGGTCAAATGAACATAAAAGGTTTGCCTTTGATATAATTATGTATGTTCCATTTTTTAAGCGATGTAGAATTGTAAACGCTAGCATTTTAAATTTGCTCAAAATGGTTATGTTTATAAATGTTATATAAAATTCCGCACAAATTTTAGTGACTACTTTTTATACCGTCTGTATACAATTTTTATAAAAAAAAGACGCTTTTTTAATTTATTGGAACGTTACGGATAATTTTAACCACAGATTAGGAGAATGGGGACAGTTTCAACAGATTTTGGACCTTTGACAAAAGACAATCTGAAGTGTATTTGAAGGAGTTTACCAATAAAAGGGTCCATTTTTTTGGATGTACACATTTTGTTAAGCAAAACAAAATATGTTGATCTAAAAGAAAAAAAAACTATTATTAAGATGTTCTTATGTGATTATGATGGCAGTTTTACTGTAGTTTTGAAATTACGTAAGTCTAAAATGGCGTTAATAATTCTAAATTTTATCAAATAAATGTTTTGACTTATGATTTATTTTACTGTGTGGATGGATAAATTTATCTGTTTAAGCAAAATAATGACTGTGTACCTCACCGTCTGTTAACAATTCCCTCCATTTCTGGAAAATATGTTGCGTATCAAGATTTTACATGTAACACTTAATTTTTCTAGATTTTGGTGTCAATTAAAAAAACTAGTTGTGAATATGTAAAATCTTCAAAAATGTTACTACATGAGTGTACTTATTCCTTTCTTATTGGAAGTCTGATATTATAATAAATGAAACTGAACGGTGCCATAATTGTAAACGTAATTAGTCGAGATACTTAGGTAGGGATTATAAAAAAAGTCTACCAGATTTCCAATAAATTATTTTCCTGAGCAATTAAAAGATGGAATATTTTAAAAATAGTATTAATGTGTAGAAACAAATAAATAGCTATTGTTATTATTCTTTCCATATACTTCAAATAGATTTCTTTCACTAATATCTGTACTTCAATATTTTTCTGTTCAGATGTGCCTCAAACACTTGTAAAAATGAAGTTATTTAATAAAGTAAAGCCAAAACTCTCTCTTTATTGCACAAAAAGGTGAATTAAATCATGACACTAATAATATAAGAGAATAATTGCCACAAACTGTAAGTTAATTGGCTTATAATGGCTAATGGAATACGTTTGCGTTTAATTATGTTATTGAAACCGAACAAGTTTTTGTACGTGAACGAAATCAACGTGTATTGTCTTTCATTGAAGGGATTCAAGTGTCACTTTTCCTCCCAGAGGATGTAGCGTTTGGATGGAGTATAACATTGATTACGTATATCTACATCGGATAGTGTTGACGAATAAAATACATATACGTATAAAGAAGAGTCCACAACTTAAGGCATATTTAGGTCTGCTCAATTATTATTTATTATGGCAAATTTTGCCCTATGTCTTGACGAATTATGTAAAAAAGATGTTAATTTTAATTAGGATAAAAACTGTGATGTAGCGTTTGGATGGAGTATAACATTGATTACGTATATCTACATCGGATAGTGTTGACGAATTATAACCCTTCTTATCCTTTATACTTAATTTGTGACGCTAGTGCCTCTGGTGTAGGCGCAGTCTTCAGTCACCAGTCACAGAATTAATAATTTTCAAAGAGTCCATAAGATATTTTTTATAAATTTGGTTATCCTTTTGGTTTAATTTTGGTGGATTCAAAATCTAAATGGCTTGAGGTAAAGCTGATGGATGCAGGTACTTCAGCTAAAGAAACTATACATTACGGTTAAAAGAAGTGTTCAGTGTTTTCGGACTTTTATTAGATAATTGTCCTTTAGTGAGTTGATATCCTTTTGTCATGCAAATGGAATCAATTGTATCGAATCTCCATCGTACCATCCGCAAAGTATAATGGCTGTACTGAAAGGGGACACAAACAGTAAAAAAGAGTTGGATTTCAGAAGAGGTCGTTGATTTCGAAACCATTTTTTCAAATTAAATTAGCAAATTTTTTATTTAAATACAGGAATACACCGAACACATCTGTAGATACTTACATCAGGATTATCGCCGTCACAAATAATTTTTAAGTCAAACACACGAACAAGATTTGATTTATTAGGGCCAGGTAATGATCACAGTGTGCAAAGCCTATTTCTAATTTAGAACGTAAGCTGTTTTTGTGGGTTGTTAATTTATCAATCGTTAGAATAAAAGTCATTAGCAAGTCTACAATCTTTCTCCAGCGAATATACCCATAAATAACAGCAACATGCGACTTCTTTTTGTTCAAACATCTAAAAAAATACCTCAAGGGTAGCAAATTTGCCTCGGATGATATCCTGAAAACCGTAGTTCTGTCGTTTTCTGAAGCGCAAACAAATGATTTTTGTTGAGTGGGACGAAACAACTGGAAAACGCTGTACTAAATGGATTACCTAGTGTAGTTTTTACGGCTCATTTAATTCGATTTTTTGTTATTTTCGAGACAAGTTGCACTGTAGAATATGTTTTCTTAGAAGATTTTAGGTTTATGCAACGGTATTTAATTTAATTTACAAATTCAATAGGGTATTTTACCCCCAAAAATGTGTTCATCGCACTCGCAGTATCATCAAAGCTATAGACAGATCAGGGTTTTATTTGAGGGTATACGACCGGGGTATACTATTCTATCAACAAATGCCACATTTTTACAAATTTGTTACAAAGGACCAAATTCATGCATAATTTCAATTTTTATGTCCCGGATAAATCTTCTACTTATCACGTTTACCTATTACTAGTTTCACTTGCGCACTAAAAACTTTACATACAGAGTGGTTTGTATAGGAGGTCAGATGTCGGCATTAATTTTTTTAAACGTAACTGCACATTGCAAAATTTATTACTCTACGATACGTTCTAAACACTTTTCTTATAACCGAACATTGTCGCCGGTTTTGAAAATATGTAATAGTGATACGATATAAGATACGACTAACTCGTCCACGGGCAATTGGAAACTTTAAACATGCAATGAAGTGAACTAAGAGCAGATTGAGCAGTTATATACTTCTAATTGAACTTATATTAAATAAATTAAATTCCTAGTTGAGGGCTGGGAGGGGTGATCAAATATGTCAAATTTTAATAAAACTCTGGCGCCTTCATTTTGAGCCTGACGCAAGACACATCTTTTTTTGTTTTTAAAATTTTTAGCTATGGTACTTACTTTTCGAGCAAAGTGCAAATTAAATTTCTCAAAAGTTAAGAAACGCACACAAAAACTGAACTCTTTTGTAGTTTTTGTGTGATTACAACAATTATTTTGCTACAGTCCTTTTAAACTGAATGCATGTGGTTCATTTCCTGTGAACACGATAACTAAAGAACGCCTGAACCGATTTTGTTGAAATTTGGAATGTATATAATGTTGGCATGGGGAATCGCAAACATCCTATTTTGGTTTCGGCCCGTTACCATTTTCAGGGTTTTTGAGGATGTCAATAGGTTTAAAAGGGTCTCATGCACTTTTTGCGCTCGGTTCAAAATAACGGCACAGGAGGTAAATATGGTGGAAAAGTCGGAAGTTTTATTCAAATTTTGACATATTTGACCGCCCCTCCCAGCGTTAAGCCATGGGATCTCGCTGGCAGGTATAACGAAGGATACTTTACACAAAAAATCAGCCATGTAACTTAATCTTTCTGTAGTATATATATAATTAGAGTCCTCGTACACTAGACTAGACCATTGAATAAAAAATCTAGACATAATCTCGTGCACAGCGAATGTTCTTAAAAAAATTGTAATTTTTGTAACGAGAAGATTCTATATTCTTCATGCGTACTTGGCACGTAGATGCTTTAAGCAATAGACGATTTGTTACGAAAAATTCAATTTGCTTCTTCGTATTTTTTAAAATGGGAAAGGGTTATATTTGTATGTGCATCTAAATCTTGTAAACAAAATCAAACAAGAAAACAAAAATACTGGTAAGTACCTACTATAAACCACAAAAATTACACACTTCATAATAGACGAATCAAAACTGTAGCTCATTTGCTGATCTTATTAAACCATATCCAAACCTCTTCAAAAGTATTTAGTTTATTTAGTAATATGACGAAACGATAAAAAATTATTTGTAGATTACCTTAAAATTTGAAAGATAGAAATTTACAGTTATTTTGGATGAATAATGTGATAGTTTTTCATTTCATTAGATACCACCTAGCAAAATGCCTGCACTGCAATTTCCACTGGTTAAGGGCATGTGGTTTTATGTAACGGCGGATGAAAAATGAGTTTCCTGTCGAGTCGCCTGTGGAAGATCAAGTTCAGTACGATTCCGCATGTAAACAAAAATTCGAAAGGTGACTCAGACACTCGACAGCAATTCATTTTTGATCGCATAGTGTATTGTATATGTCAACCCCTGATCAGCATAAGTTTATAAAGACACTGTATGCTAACGACAAGTACCTTTATAGACTATAAAAGAATATCTACGTCAATAATACGTGACATTTCTCAACTCATTTCTCGGTCATCAAACACTGACTCGCCGTAAAACGTATCATTTTAGCTCCATTATAATGTAATATGTATACTATTGTACTAAGGAGAAATCATTTGCTGCCTGCGATACTTTATTGTACAAATTCCGAAGCCTTAATAAACATGGTCAACTTCGTTTTTGAGTTATGAGCTGAAAATTTGGCAATGTCAGTCCATTATAGCTTTGTATGGTTGTCCGTCGTTATGTTCGCACTTTCGTCTGTGTTCGCGATCACTCTTAGTTAAAAGATCCCCAAATACGTTTAATAATAGCTTTTAATTTTTGTTCGTCCATCCGTTTGTCCGTCCGTGTGTGTTATAATTCTTCTCCAATCGTGTTGAAATTTGGTGTACGGGTACTTTGCTAGGACGCTATTGATTTTCAGGAAGCTCAACAGGAACAAAAGTTATAGGTATTCGAGTGAATCGAGAACAGGCAAAACTGTGGACACTGTGGCTAGATTATTCCCTATGACTCGATGTATCACAATTCAATAAATTCTTCGCTGTTGTCTTGTTCAAGAGTTTTAGACCAAAATGTACCAAAAATTACTCTTTACACTTGAATTTGGAATTGTGAAAGCTTTCCAACCCATGATCTCAATGTTCATGACATAAATTTTTAAAGGAAGGAAAAAATTTTATACAACCCCTCCTGATGGCAAAAGTACCACTTCCCCTACGTTTTAAAAGAAAATGCATCTCAAATTTATCACAATAACCTTGACCAGCCATTATGAACATGTATCTATAAATGGAACGTGTTCGAATTATAGATATCATTTAATATGAATTCTATAATCCGGAAACATGGGTAATCCGAACGGGTTCCGGCTCCTTTCTATTCGGATTATCCATACATTACTGTAAAAAATGGGTTACTTTTATATCAACAACTCCCTTGCAAGGTCTAGCGGGGTCTATACAAACACTATTTTCTAGCAAGCCTTTCGTTTTAAAAAGTTGTAAGCTGAAGGAAAATACATATGGTCAACAAAAATGTATCAAATTCATGTATGCAGCATTAAGATAATGCTCTTAGTTTTTTCCCAACGATATTAGTGCATGAATAACGATTTTTCCTGTTCCTGATTCACTCGAAGTCCTCTAACTTTTGTTCCTGTTGAGTCAGCTTGAAAATCATTAGCGTCCTGTCTCAATGTACAAAGTACCCGTACATCCAATTTCAACACGATTGGCAACTTCTAAAAGGAGTTATAGTGCACACAGACCGATAAATGGACGGACAAAAATTAATTACTATAAAAAGTTTCCGAAGATCTTAACTAGGGTGTTATAAGAAACTATAAACGATCTGAGGATCCTTGATGAATAAAGCGATGTATGATGAATATCGAAGGACCTAACCCAATCAGTTGTTAACTTTGAGGTTGATTCATGTAACTTTGGTACGATGTGACCTATTGACCCCAACTTCAAACGGACTTGGACCAAGAGAAACTTATAGCCCTTAACCTTTTGTTCGAGAACTACGTGCGCACACGATTTCAAGAAGGTCTTCTCCTTCTCGGGTCCTTAATAAATTGTGGGTAAGGGTAACAGTTCTATTGCAAGTGGGGTGGTTATGACAGAGGTGTTCCTGCTACTCTTTAGGTCACAAAATCGGGTTTATTTTTGTTATAAATCGTAGTTTTTATGCAAAGGGCTCTAAAGTGGCAAAGGCTCATTCAAGTTCTTTAAAAAAGATTCTACAACTTTTCCCGAAGGTTTCGATTTTTGCGTTGGTATTTTGAACTAAACATAAAACACGTACAGTCCACATTCAAAAGGGTTTACATGTTCAAGGCAAATGGGTATACTTGGCTAGCGCAGTAGCGTAATTATCTTTTTAATCGTGGCAGTATTTCATATCATCGTTGTTAGCGTATTTTACGTTTTTTTCAATAATATTGGGGATGGTATGTTTGTTTTACAAAAAAAACATCAATCCTCGCCAATATCATAGAAAAGAGCAAAAAATGCTTTAGTTAACAATGATGTGGTTATAAAAATTATTTCTAATTTTGCCTTGCAGTTTTTTAAATATTATTCATAATCATGAAGCTATCAACTTTTAAACAAAAAAAGTCGATTTCTGTTTTACCTAGGTATCTCGTTTTCGCGCTAATTAAAAAAACTATTGCGTATTATGAGTTGTAAAAAACGATACCATGTAATTCCAAGTGTGATCTTGGTTAATATAAGTACTTATAAAATGTATATAATTCATAGTCCTCGGTTTGCTCAATTACAGTGTGGCCCAAATCGAGTGGGACATGCGTAACTTTTTTTTGGGGTTAAATTATTAAAGTAATATGTGCTGACTGAAATGTTGTTTAGAAAATGTGATAATAATGGTCCCTTTATTAAAAAAATGAAGATCATATAATCAAATGTGTTCATATATCTCATTAGTCATTATTTATAGAAGATATGGGAAAGATTAAACTATGAAAGTTTTCCACATTGATAGAGAAAGATCAAAAATGATGTTGAAATGAAATTCAAAATAGTACCTATTGGATATTTTATCAGAAAGTAACTTTCCGCGTAGGATTATTTTTCAAAACCGCGATCCATAGTTTTCGCGTGATATAAATTGAAACTTTTCATATGTATTGTGGATCTGGATACCCAGGCTATTTACCACGGTCTCTCTGTATAGTTTATTTTATTTATTTATTTTGCCTTTATTTATATAGCTACTTTCCAATGTAAAATCTATGCCATTTTGATTGGACAATGGCATACATAATCGTTGAACTACTGCAGCCAAATCGAAAACACTTCTATCGAGTGTACTGAAGTAGTTCATATGAATCGATTTGAACGTTCTCAATTTGAAGGAACAAATTTCTAAAGCTGAAATGGTTGCAAAATTAGAAAAATGGCTAGTTAATGAACGTGACGAAGTAAAGAGGAAGTTAAGCTCGCTAAAGCTCTCAGCAATTTTCCTCGCTTGTTATAATTTGCATTTCCGAAAGAGTTTTCACGCATTTTTGCGAATTGTGTCAGATTTATTATTAACAACGAACCTGAAGGGAACTTAAAAGGATGCCTTTGTTTAATAATTCACCAAAAGATGTCTCTAATAATTTTCGTAGTTAGGATCCCAGCAGTCGCCATGGAAACGAGAGCTCCGCTTCAATCCTTCCTGCGTTGCGTTGCGTCTAGCAATTCGCGTTTGTTTGCAAGTTCGGCTTATGTTCTCAGTTATTTTAAAGTCCGTGTCGAGAATACTCGCGGGATATTTTTAAATTTCGTTGTGTTTACATTAAAGTGTCATACATGGAGAACGAACAAACGATGTAAAAGGTAAGTGGTTAAATGTTTTCCAAACTCATTTTTGGGAAAGCTCATCCAATGGAACCACCTGTAAGGAAACTTAATGATAATGCACTTTTTTAGCGGTTATTTATGCCAGCGCTCTTCTTTTTGGATGAAGCGTAAACAAATTGATGCCATTAATTGTTTAAGATTTAGCGCGCGCGCTTAATTACTTTATCTTTACTGGATGTTTGTTTATTTACGTACTCAATAAGCGCCGCCGTTACATTTTTTTAAAGAATAAATCTGGATGTAATCTTTTGATCATTTTTGACGTAAGGAGATGACTAAAACTCTTAATTAAAGTCGCTCTTGACCTCATAACTTACTGTTAAACTGTAAGACTTTACATTTGAATTTATAACACGAGCAAATGGGAGCATTTCTAATATAATTGAAATTAATGGCGAAATTAACTAGAGTAATTCGCGGGAAGTTTTTACTTCCTCAATTTGAATTAATTAAAAGTTACGCGCGCTTTTAATTTTTTTGGACTAGGTATGCGCCACATGCTCAAAGCGGCTTGACTTGACGCTTTTTTCGAGTAAAAAATCTTCCCAACTGCTTTAATTTGGTTACGGAAAACCGCCGTACGGTTTCGTGATTAGTTCAAAACGGAAAAGAAAGATAAATGAAGTTGTATACCGCATTGCGCTAGCTTGTAATCTATTGGTACCTCGTTTATTTTGTCGCATGTCCTCCCCGATACAGTTGGCACTTCTCGTTTATTTACACGCATTTGTGACAGTAATTGATAGGTAATAAATACCTGCCCAATCTTTGCGCTACAATTACATCGAAATGCAATGATAGTGCAAATTTGGGTGCTCCCCTCATTTCGCACCTTGTGCTAATTATTTTGGGAATATTTCTGGTTGTTATTAGGTATGATCTTCACACGCACATTAATTAAACACTGTCATCATTAACTTTACATCTCTGGGTATTGACGAAATCGAACCACATTGAAGCTAGATCGTCTATTAATTAATTAGGTACATTTACCACACTGATGAGTTTAATTCGCTGTTCATAATTTTGACCAAATAAAATAAACAGTAAAAAATCCGCCTCACTTGTGCGATTAGCTAAAACGTTTATGTGTGGACTGGACTTCAACTCGTGATTAATTAAATTAATCAAATCCAGTTTATAATAACGGAAATGAAAAAAAAAAACGAAATTTGATTGCCGAGATCGCTATAGCACTCGGACTGACGCAATTCGTGCAAGCATTAGCAACAAGTTATTTTTTTTAATGTTAGTAATATAGGCAGATTTATACACTCGAATGAAGAGAGAGCTATTTTGAAAATTGAACGAGGAATGCAACAAGAATTTTTTTTGAAAAAAATCCATTGTCGTATGGTATTTTCCCTTAAAAGATTAAAGCTTAAGAAAGTAACGCATTATAGGTGGTAACGTTATATTTAATATTTCTCATTGGCAATCGATTTCGGCAAAATAGATATGTCATCATCAGGCCGTGCGTCATGAGACATAAAAAGTAGGTAGCAATATGAACATGAAGATTTTACATAGCAATGGAAATGAAAGTAGTGGATAAAAGTAGGACGAAAACGAAATTGGTTTTAATAAAGTACTGTCCTTCATGTTCATATTGACTACCTACGTGTTATGTCTCATGAGGCACTACCTGATGATGGCATAATTATTCTGCCGAATAAACCGAATAAATACTTCACAATAACGTTCCAAGTATGGAGAACTACATCGCACATATTAAAAGCCCCTGTTATAGCTAAACATGATATTTTATATAATAAATCCATTCATTGAATACCACTAATTGTTTAATTTTAAACTACGATGAACTCCAGTTTTAAGCTTGAAACAAATAACTTTGATCATTTTGAGGTTGAAGTTTCAGAATGTACCTTAGGTTCGAGGTCAGGTTTATATATTAAAATTCAAGCTTCATCATATTCTTATTTTTCAACTTCGTAACAGAAACCTTGGCTCGTGAGTTAGCCTAAAAAATTCGAACCTGGAAAAGGAAACAAAATGTAAAAAAAATTGCAATTAAAAGAGCGCATGACAAGATAGAATTAGTTTAACTACCCTAACGTTGCATTTTTATTAAATGTCAGCAATTGTTTAATTTTAAGCTAACATCAACTCCGTTAAACTTGAAATTTCAAATAACGTTGAGGTTCAAGTTTCAGACTGTACACTTAGGTTTGAATTTAGGTTAATATTTTAAAATTCAAGCTCGAAAAAGAATCATATACCCTTGTTTTTCAACTTCGAACTGGGAACAGAAACCTAGGCTCGCGGTTTAAAAGATTCGAACTTAAATTTTAAATTAAAACCTGACCCTACAAATTTGAAATTAAGTCGTAAGTATAATCAGAGTATTAATCTTGAAGGCTCAGAAATTTTTTAAATCTTGCAGAATGGCTATAGCTTGATGGAAACCTGGGAATTGGAGGAGAACCTGAGACGATATGAAGAAAAACTTGACGAGAGCTTGAAAGGAAACTGTGAAGCACGCCACAGAAACTTAGAAGGAGCTTGAGAGTATAATCTCTGAAATATTCCTGGAAATATTTGAGGATCTTAAGAGCGGCATACGAGTAAATTGAAAGAACCTTAAAAGGAACATGAAGGGAATTTGAGTATAATATGATAAAAACATAGCAGTTTGACTTAATCGGGAGTCTAGGATACATAGGAACTTGTTAGGGACAAAATCCCACCATCCGACTTATTAATGTTAATACAGGGTAGTTTTCAGACGACTGCGACGTGTGTGACAAGTGTCGGTTCACGCCAATATGTTTATATTTTCTATTATACTTTAATAAAATATGAAATCAATGTAAATTAATACAGTCCACTAAACAGAAGAGTAGAACCGCAACATTTGGTCCTTCAAGCCGAATTTACGTGTTACATTGGACGGGTGACGCCGAAAATTTACCAACGTGTAGGGCGATTCGATTTAAAGGCATCGCAGTCAATCAAACAATTATTGTTTTGAAGGCCTCTCACTGCACGCAATACTTTACTGGTCGATTTCATCCCAGTGAGTTCCATTTATTTAATTCCTGTCAATTTGCAACTGTTGGCAATATTATAAATTAAAGAAACATGGATCCCAAACAGTTGAAATAAAAAAGACATCAATCAAAATTGTATTTGAGTAGAATAGAGAGCTATATTTTAGAAAGACAGAATGTGGAAATTACGGATCTTGTTTACGAGCATATCAATTTGAAAATTGGTTATAGAGATCATACTATCTTAAGCTTTTTGGAAAATAGAGCTATGGCTCTTTAATCAGTGTCTTCGTCCGATGGCATATCTGAGTCACAAACAAAACAACAGAAATTATCTAATGTTACTGTTTAGCAGGCAAAAAATAATAAACGAAAAACCGAGCGAAAAACGGAATTAAAGTGTAACTTTTTTAGTGAAGTAAGGCATAAAATTTACAATTACACGAAATTTAAGTATGTCACTGTTTTTGAAAGAAGAAATTGATAGAAGACAATAATTGATATAAAATTTGCTTGAACAAATAATTTTGGAAATTGTAGATTTTCGTTTAAATTAATAACCCTTCTCAAATAATACACTGTTGCATTTTGAAAATACCTCAGTAAATGAGGTCGAAGGTATAAAAACAGTATAGGCTTAATTAGCAGAAAACAGAAAAATGCCATTACTATTGGCTAAAAATGGGGAATTTTTGTTGGCTAGAGGTTTGGTAGACTTTTATTCCGAGAGTTATTTTGCAACGGTTGAATTGGCTAAAAGAATAGATGGAAAAACTGATAATGAAAACTTAACTATTGGTAGTGTCAGAAAATTCGCATCAGAGAACAACTGCAATAAACGCAGATATATATTCTTGTATCGGTATCGTGACCACAATATGAACGTTCATTTTTCAATACTTGAAAAAATAACATTTTTCCAAATTTTGGTCACGGGTACCATTAAATTACGCACAAATGGGATGGTATTGCAAAATACACTACTTGGATACATCATAAGTGAGGAAATACCGGCAATGTAGATAAAAGTATAAAGATGATTATGTATCCATTCTATGACATCTGTAAATCTTATTTCAAATCTGACGCGGAGCACGATATAAAATTCAGTTCAGAAATATGACAATGCTTTTTCTATGGAATTGACCGCGACGGCAGAACCTAAACTTGCTATTTTTTAAGTCTAAATAATTAAATTCAGAATTGTCAGAAGGTTTACAATGATTTATATGACTTCTGCTATAAAATAGTTTTGAATTATATACGATGATAAAAGAAAACTAACCATCTCGTGAAAGTTAATTCACTCAATGGTTAAAATATCCCTTTATCGTCTTATATAGTCAATAGCTACTAGTCTATTATAGTTTAATAAGATATAAAGTCAATGTAAATTAATACAGTCCACAAAGTGGAACACAGTAGAACCGCAACAGAACTAGAAATGAAGAAATGAAACATTTCGTTATCTGGAAGAAAACTTCTTCTCATACTAAGCTATATTTGTAAAGTTGCAAGTCTCAGTGACCAGCATTCAATTTAAAATAAACTGTTATAATTTGCACTTTCATCTGTTAAATCGTATTTCAAGAATTAACATCTTATTTTAGTAGAGCTTCTGCAATTTTTCCTAAGTTGCGAGTTACTCAATTTTTACACACGACCGAACGGTAAATTGAACTAATTACAAAACACACAGATGAGCCTAAAAATATAAAGTTATAATTTATTAATGGCCTTCAACATAGGCGCCATATTACATCAAGATTCATGTATTATCCCATGAAAGTTCACCATAGTGGATTGAGAAAAGGGTCTCTCGTTTCTATTATGAAAGGAGTCGATATACTTCCTGTACAGCACAGGACAAAATTATATTGTACAATTTTTTGCAGTTAAAGCTGCAAACCATTTTAAGAAAAAGTAGCGCTTATATATTCACTTTGGCTGTACGGTCGGTCGGTC